ACAACTGTTTCTTATAAATGATTCAGAAACAATTTCAGAATCCAGTCCTTGCCAGATTTTAGGCCCTACTAAATGATTGATTTATGTGTGGGATGTCCCTGACTAATCGTACTGGAAATCTCTAATACCTTTTGGTAAAGTTGACAGGAAATCCTACAAGTAAAAAACCCAAAGGAAGGAAACTACATTATGGGGACAGACAGCTCTGCTGGGTCATAAAGAATTAATCCAAGCTTAGTGCTGTAGAAGGGATGGGGACATGACATTGTGGTGGAAATGGTCCCACTAGAATAAATGGGAGACAAAACAGGAATACAAAGAAAAAAACTGAAGGCTTCATTATGCTTCTTTGTAATCATGTTATCTTGTTACATTTTTATGGTCACAAAGATCCTCTGGGTGTAATTTACTGCTCTTCTACTTCCGACTTTCATGTAGAAATCACCTATAGCAGCATAGTAGGTCTTTAGGGTCAATCAGTCACATGTTTTCTAGGTGAGATAGTTACCCTTGCATTCCCTATGACATCATCTTCCTTATTTGTTCTTGTCCAAGATCCTGAGGTAATCAAGGAGTCTGTTCTGGTACTTCTTCATTAATTACTAAAATTACAACATCTCATTAAATGATCAATTCTCAGCTGCCCTCATCAGTTTATTAAATATTACTTAAGAAATAATGTTATTTAACAAATTGGAGAGATCTCTTTTCCCATAAGCATGCTAATCTCTAAATACTGAACTCACTAATCTTAGGTTTAAATAAACATCAAGATTACTGGCTATACTACCTATTAGTAGTGTAACGAACGATACAACAAACAAATAATTATTCACAGTATATTGGCTGTAAGACGGATCACAGCCAAAGTTACTTTTAATGATCATTATGAATACAGACCTCCATAATTCTGGAAATATAGTTCTTAGGATACAAACCAGTCTCCAAGCCTCAGAAACAAGGCTAACGGATGCAGGGAGCTCTTGTTTATTGGTGGACATTGCTTTCAGGTCCATTATACTTATCAAGTTGTTGTGAACTGAAGATTAGGGCATTCTTACTGTTTTGGGGGTTTGGGATGCCCTTTATCCTTTATCTTTGGTCCCATCTTCATTTCCCATTTCAAATTCTTTGGCACTCAGCTTCTGGAATATCAATTCTTCATTACTCTTTATGTTCATTCAGCATTCCTATCCATCAAGGTCATAACTGTAACAGAGGCCAATTGTTTTTCTGCTGGTCCTATGCTGGTGGTGACTTTGCATCAGATTGTCATGACAAGTCTTGAAGTCTTTTGTATTTATAAATAAGATGGTTTTGTTTTCTGGTTCCACTTTTCAACTGGTTCTCTGCAAACTTCTGTCTTGAAATCTGTATAATCAGTTTGACTCTTACTGTGCTTATGGCTCTACCTCTACACAAGAGGATCTATACCAGTTTCTACCTAATTTTCAAAAAGTTGGTGGGCACAGTATTGGGTATGGAGTTCAAAGGCAAAACTGTCCCAGGGACATTTGCCCTGGGAAGCTTCCATGTCACCTCTCTGGTCCAGAGCAGTAGTGTCAAAGGAAAATAGACATGGATCCCTACCAGCTGCTTATTGACTTAGAAAACCACAAATTAACATCATCCGTGTTTTACTGTATTTTTCAAAATTTTGGTAAACATTTCCCTATTACATTTGAATCTGGTCCTGGCCCCACTGGGAGCACTGCCTGTGAGCCTCAAGTTTGACATTTCTAGTATGGAGTACCCTTTCCTGAACTGAGGGAGCAGTAAGTATACAAAGAGTCACACTGATAACAGATTTGAAGACAAAAGTTTATAGGGAATCTGCATTAAATTGGATGGTCTTTTTATTTTCTTCTCCTACTGAAGCTGGTGAATAGATTGTTACAAATGCTAGATGCTGCTTTCCAAAGATCACTTGGTTCAAATAACTTGGTTCATCTTAGTGGAGCAAATACACTGGGTGGCCCATCTCAGAACACATTTACTCTGCTTTCTTGCTGCAGCGGTGGCCTGCTGGAGGCCTCCTAGATTTCCCAAGCACTCAGCTGTCTGTTTAGGCTACCAAAGCACCGTAATAATACGCAAAGGGGAATTTAGACCCTCTGTCCCTTCCCATCCACTCATGCCTGGGCCTATCTTCTTTTTCCTTCTTCTTCCCAAATTGGCCACCCTCTTCTACCATACCTAGTAGTTCCTCATTTCCCCACATAAATAAAATATAAATGATGAACATATAAAATATTTTGACCCCAAAAATGCTGGATAGTTTTTTAGTCTGGAAATTTCATGACATCAGGAACATAATAATAATAATCACCCTTAGTTTATAATGCCTTTCCAAATTCTAGCTTTATTAAACATTTTCTTTAAAACTAGAATGTACAAATGTGTTACACACTGATTCAGTTCTTATTAGATAAAACAATATGAACTTTCTTAATATCAAATCTATAAATGAGATCCAAACATAATGCAAAAATGTGACTTGCCATTCAAGTTTTTCTAATCTAGAGAAAGATCTTAATATAATCCCTGCCACTGTCCATTTTCTATTCATGTTTTACCGCATACTGAATATCTCGAGTTTCCTTTATTGCTATATAAGATGGCTTGCTATTTCCCATTTTCAGCAATTTTCATCTTTCTATATATCATCATTATTTTTTTTTCCTGATGATGGCCTAAAATGCCCAAAGTTGGAGATACAAATGGAAGTTACTGAGGCCTATTTCTGTAAGAACACAGTGGTCACTGTTGTCTATAACCTCCTGAGCATCAAGAGCAAGCTAAGTACAGCTGCAGAGATGACTTTAAAAGTACTCAGGACAAATAAAATATTTTCATTTGTTCAAGCATGTATTAAGTTCCTACCTTGTGTAGAACATTGTGCTAGATGCTACAAAGTTTGATATACATTTAGATAATGCATAGTGTTTACTGGCTAGTAATACATAAAATTACAGTTCCGCTTTGTTTTTTCAGGGTTGTCACTTGGGTGTCTTAAAACTACAACACCTACAGCATTGGATATATATTGTTTGGGCACAAACCTCTTACAGAAATCATAGGATACAAATAAACATGAGACTTTTTAGACATCACATTCCCAACACAGCAACCTATTTTTTTAAATTAATTTTTAAAAGTATGTTATCCTCCATTGTGCAGAAGAATCAATAAATCAATAAAAAATTAGTAAGTACCTAAGCAACCTATCTTTTTATTAATTTTTAAAAGTATGTTATCCTCCATCGTGTAGAAGAATCAATAAATCAATAAAAAATTAGTAAGTACCTACTATGTGCCTGGCATTGTAGATGCAAAGACAAAAGCCAAAGTCCCCACCCTCAAGTAGCTAACCTTCTCTTGAAGAAAACAGCATGACAGGTACATGTATGAAATACAAGATAGACACATAGTGACTGGAGTGATGGGGGAGAATATTAATAATTGAGGTGAATCAGGGAAGAGTTCGTGCAAAAGATGCCACTTGAGCTGAGGCTTTAGGGAAATGAAGGAATCTATGAGGCAGAAATAAGGCAAGGCATGGGAAAGAGCCTGTACCTTTGTATAGAGACAGGAGATGGAGCATCATGTGTGAGGAATCGCAAGAAAGCATGTTTTTTTTGTTTGTTTTGCTTTCGCATTTTGATGAGGCAATCGGGATTAAGTGACTTGCTCAGGGTCACACAGCTAGGAAGTGTCAAATGCCCAAGGCTGGATTTGAATTCAGGTAAGAAAGTTTGTTTTGTTGGACCACAGAAATGTGTGAAGGAGAGCAGTGTGTAACAACACTAGAAAGACAAGCTGAGGACAGATTGCGACTTGCTAATTACTAAATGTAAGTATTTATTAAAAGTACCTACTGTGACTCAGAATATAACTGAACCTGTGAGAAGTGATAAGGCCCCCACGTGAGAGTGAACAGAAAAAAAGAGAAGAGGGGATACACAATCAAGGCTGGTTTTGGAGTCAGTAAGAGCTGGGTTAAAATACTGCTTCAGATACATACTGCCTATGTGACTCTGGGGAACTGACTTAAGCTTTCAGGAATTCCTTCTGAACATACATCTCAAACGAGTTGCTCATCTGCAAAAATGAAAGCAGTTTCCAAAACCACAGACAAAAAGACCTGAGCTCCACCGTGTACTAGTGACATTCATTGACAGCCAACATAACTTCATTTAGAGACATTTTTAAAGGGAAAAAAAAATTTTAAAGGGGTTTAAGTACGGCTTTAAATTCTCTCCCAGATGTGGCCGAATACACAGAATATCTCTTACGTTCTTGTTCAATTCTTGGCCCCAATTTAAGTTATGAGACTTTGACCTTGAAGCTGCCCAGAAGAGACACCACTGTACACCAGAAGTTGACACAAGCATTTCTATTTTTATTTATTTGGGGGTGAGGCAGTCGAGGTTAAGTGACTTACCCAGGATCACACAACTAGGAAGTGTTAAGTGTCAAGTATCTGAGGTCGGATTTGAACTCAGGTCCTCCTGACTCCAAGGGCCAGTGCTCTATCCACTGCACCACCTGGCTGCCCTGACACAAACACTTTTAACATCACATTCTTTCCTGCTGCTATCATCTCTGCTGAAGTGAATCAAAATTAGATTTCTTAGAATGCTCCAAAAAATGAATGCACGCGGTTTGCCAGAATACTATGGGCTGATTCTGATGTAACCAGTTGATTTGGAACACTGGAATTCCATTTTTTTCCTGTCCTGCCCCCCTCCCCCGACTTCCTATTTGCTTGTAAGGATAGTTACACCCCAGAAAGGTTCCTTTGGTTACATAAAATTCTGTTTGTGAAATGACATCATTGCCCCATTCATAATTCTTGTCTTGTTATAGTTCTTCCAGTTGGTAGAACTTTCAGAGCTTTTGCCTTTGAAAAGTGGAAGGATCTCAATTTTGGATATTGTCATGTTTTCACCATTTTTATTTTGTTATTGTTTTCTTTTTTGTTTGTTTTTTTAAAATAAAGCTATATAAAACTTATGGATTAAAAAAAAAAATACCTGAGCATAATGCACTGAACTTAGCTTACATTTAATAAAATTTGTTGAACTGACGCCATTTCTTTCATCCATCATATTTTTATGCTTTTTTCTTTGGAAATGTTTTGAAACCAGTCCTGAGTAACATAGGCAAGTGAGTACATAACTTTAAATCTCGGCTATTTATAAACCAAAATATTTTGTACTAATTATTTTTAGCCATGATATACTAGGCACTATTAAAAATGATAAGGTTTCAGGATGTACAGTACATAGTCTTCATATATGGGCACATATTAAGCTACCAAAAAATGCTTAGACATCACAGTAAAAAGAAAATAAAAAGCCTGTTTCATTTCTACATAGTGATTCACACTCTAGAAAATGGTTTTAGGTCAGGGAAACAATTCCCATACAAACACAACTGAACTAAATAACATAAATGAATTCTAGGCTATTTTTGATAATATTTTGTGGTGTGGAACTAAAGAACCACAATTACAAGAACATGCCACTAGGTGATGCTCTTTATCAAACTTCCCTCCAGTCGAGTAATCTGTGTTAGCAGGCACCATTCTTAATAATAATAATAATAACAACAACAACAACAATAATAATGATAACAATATGCAAAAAAGCAAAGACATTGCATAAACTGGATTATATCCTGCATATGTTTTGAATTAGAGATATAGTTATATTAAAACACATTTATAACTGACTAGAGGGGAGTTGAGAAGAATGAGTATTACTGTCCCACTTAAAATGCTGGGCCTATTGCTCCCCAAACTTGTTTCTAGAAAGTAATTTATAATTTTCATGTTTATTAAATAATTTTATATTCACAGCTACTCTGTAAGGTAGATATAGTGGAAAGAATATTGGCCTGGAAGAATTCAGAAGAATTTTTCTGCCGCTATTACACTCATGCAACAAGAGCCAATTCCTGTGCCCATCTGCAAATGAGGGAATGAGATTAGATGAACTCTATGGTGCTTATGACTCTAAGTAAAACAGCTCTTACTAACTTGCTCCACAGGAAACTGAGGATCAGAGAGATTAAGTTAACTAGCATCTAATGACTAGCAAGTAGAAGAACCAGAGCCAGAACTTTAGCTTATTACTTATTACTTGCCCTCCTTGCCTTAAAGTACTATTATATGGATGACACAAGATAATGTATATGAAAGGGCTTAAGTATAACGAACATATGTATCATAAATATGTTCATGTCTAAGACCTCTTGGGTAATAGAACTGAGTGATACTTAAGAGATGACATCTTCTAACTTTTCACAATATAACAATCACTTCTTTCATGTAAAATACGAATTAAGTCAAGGGGAAGAACAAGGAGCATAAATTGGAGTTATCATTATTATTCTTATTAATAAGAAGAATCTTACATAATTTTTATGAATGACTTGTGATAAGTCACATAGTTCTTTAAGGTTTACAAAGTGATTTATTTATATTAACTCTACAGAGAAGGTATTTTTACTCCCATTATACAGACAAGGAACCTAAGGCCCAAAGAGTTTAACTTGTCAACTAGTAAGAATTATGGGACTTGAACTTCATTATCTCCTAACCTCACATCCAGTGTTTTTTCTACTACAACATTCTATTTCTACAATAAAGGAAAAATACGAGATTATGACTTTTTAACGTGAATTATCTACTTAATATCAACTAATTAATATTTGTTGAAGTACCACACCCTAATGAGATCCCTTCACATCAGAGATTAAAATATTCCATTAATCCTGAATATTGTTCAGGCTTATGACTTCTGATCATGTAGGTTTCTAAATAATAATACTAAAGAAATTACTCAACATTTAAAATCTTAAGAGACATTCCATGAGAAAACTCAAAATGGAAGCATCAAAATTAAAGAAGCAGTATGTTGAATTAAAAAAAAAAAAGAGTTCATTTTTATTGTTCCAAGAGAAATTTAAGAATGGAATCTGTTTTTAATGAAATCCCAATGACAGAAAACTAGATCTGGAAACAGTCTTTTCAGGTCATTTACTGATGCCATTTTACAGAGGAAAAAAATGACTCCAAGAAAGCAAGTGATTTGACCATGGTTACATAACTGGTTAATAACAGAGGCAAAACTAGAACCTGGCAACCCCTAATTCCAAGTCAGGGAGCATTCCACTGTCCTGTATATAATTTCACAGGCCTTTGTACAAGATCTTCAAGTTGGTTAGATTTTTGCACTTGGAGATTTGTTTTTGGTATAGCTGCTGTGATTACTTTGTTCCTCATCTTCTGATTCATTTAAGTCAAGGTCAAAATCTAATTCGTCATCACTTTGTTCCTCTTCAAATCTTCTGTTTCTTCTCCTGCAGTGAGATATCTCGTCACTTTCAACGTCTGCTGTCTTCTCTAGTTTGTTACTACTGATCCTGATGGAGAGAGGGGAAAAAATCCAATTACCTGCCAGGCTTTTATTATTCTCTTGTTCAGTAATGGCAGAGGGAGTCTTTTCAACAAAATTTTATTTTTTTTGTGCCTGATCAGCAAGAATTTCAGTGAAGTAAATATGAATAAAGATCCCTGAAGATTAAGTTACAAGCTCAGCTAATAATAATGTTGCTGGTCATATGCCAAGCCCAATCAAATTAGTACATGACATTCATTACAGAAAAACTGTTTAACACAAAACAAAATCAAAACCATAAACAAAAAGTCACCATCACAATATTCTAATCTATTTTCAGTTTCTCTGTTTTGTCCACTGTCAACCTGAGTCTTGTTTTGATGACAGTAAAAATTTAAAAATTAGTTTATTTACATATTGCCTAAGTCTTGTAGATTAAACACTTTTTATATTTTCTTGGGATAGGGATAGAACCATGGATCCCTACTGTGAAAAATGGGGCTTCTAACTGAAATCAAACAAAACTAGTCTGAGAACTTCATGTTTACATGGAAGCTCCATTTTAGCCCAAGGAGGCTGTGTACATCACCTACGCAAATAACACAGGTATTCACTGACGGCTATTTATTCCACTTTTGCGAAGGAATTTGGGCCTAAAACCTCTCTAAGGAGAAGTAGATTTGACCAGAAGCTAAGGAGGAAAGGGTAGTTGGGGTAGAAGAATAGATGAAGGGTACCTGGGTTTGATGGTGTGAAGTGTGAAGTGTTAAGTGCAACAGCAGTGCTTGTAAAGAACAACAAAATAGAATAAGATTTGACCACATACTGACTCCCCTCTCAATGGTTGCACACCAAGTAGCAAATGAAGTTATACCAAATGCTTATGTCATAAGGCTCTTAAGTTAGTCTGCATCCCCAGAGGCAGTATTTACAGGAATAATGGCAACAGCCAATATATTCCAAATAAAGACATATGGTTATCCATTTACTATAACAAAGCAAAAAATGCACCATATCTAAGTTCACAGCTATTTATTTTCCTTTCTATGTCAGGTAAGCAGGTCTTACATGAACCAGAGAAATACAGAGTATACTCTGAATTCAATGACCTCAGTCAGAGAGAAACAAGGCTTGACTTGAATGAAATTGTGTTACAAACAAGAAAAAATTTTTTAAAAATTAACATAAAAACATTAACTCATTAGGGCTGATTAACGTGAAAAACAGTTGTTTTTGTTTTGAAGGCCCCATTCAAGTGCAGGGATATGGGGAGTAATGCTCGAAATGCACAGATTTGATCACGTTATGGGGAAAGAACTATTGAAAATTTTTAAATTGAAATTCTCTTACAATCTGTTTCCACAAATTGATATTGACCCATCGTATAATTTTACTGAAATATAAGCCTTATTATTAGTTAATCAGCATACTTCAATGAAAGAAAACTCATGTGCATCAAGCAGTGGAAGAGTGAAATAAACTTTCATGGAAATAAATACTCACGGAATAACAATTTCTTCTTTCTTTCCACATTTAGCACAAACTTCAAGTTCACAAGCACATGGTTTACAAATTATGTGATAAGAATCCTTCACTGTCTTTTGTAAACATTTAACACTAAAGAAGAAAAAAAATTGATATCATTTCAATTCAGATGTTTGAATTACCTCCTATCAAATGTTTATCCTTTTCTTTCTCCTCCCAATAAAAAGTTTCACACATGCAAAAATTAAAAAGAAAATCTATTTTTACCAACCTCATTCAACAACTGTTTAGGAAGCACATGGAAGGGAACCTAGTAGAGGAAATAATATACACTAAAATAGTAATACTAATTAATAATAAAATTAGAATATAGTAACAAAGACTGTTATGAATGCCAAAGAAATAAAAAACTACTTTTGTCTAGGATGACAGAGAAGGTTTCACAGAGGCTGCATTTGAATGAGGCCTTCAAAAAGGGGCTGCAATTCCACAAGTGAAGGTAAGGGTAGGAGGAGAGATTGAATTCCAGACTAGGGTGATAATGTGAATAATGGCATGAAAGTGTGAAAAGACAGAGTGGATGAAGATAATGACAAGTAGTCCTGTTCAGCTGAATAGAAACTATATGAAAGGGACTAGTTCATAGAAGGAAAGCTAGAAAAATGGACTGGAGTTTGGCCTTAATTTTAATAAATGATATAATCAAAATTATCCATTTTGACAATGAAGAACCACTGAGAGAGGCAAAATAGTATAACAGACAGAAACCTAGCTTCAGAATCAGAAAGACCCGTCATTGAAACATACTGGCTGTGTGACCCCAGGACAAATCAACTCATAACTCACTAAGACTTAAGTCTCAGAAGACTTGCTGAACTACATTGATAGAGGGAGTTCCTTCCTTACATCAATGAAGTAACAAGTCCAAGTGAAAAAAACAAGGCGCAGGGGGTGGGGGGACCAGGCTGTTGGGAGTAGTAATCATTGAAGGTTTCTAAGTATGGGAGTAACGTGATCAACTCTGCGCATTTAGAACATTACTCTAGCAATGAAAGGTAAAACAGACTGATGTAGAAAGAGCCTGGCAGTGGGAAAAGACCACTAAGAATCAAAGTTGAGGATCACAAAAAGAGCAATGAAGAAGCACATGGTAGGTAGGCATGAGCATAGTATGAGAGAAACATATGCCTGTGAAAAAAGATAGGCTGGTCATGTAATAAGTATGGGGAACAAGTTAAGGAATGGCCTGTGTGCTCTACTGGTTTCCGTGAAATGTCAAGAGAATGAGAGAAGGTACCTATCAGATCAGGTGGGTCCCCTGTAATGAAATGATGAGAGTCACAAGATGGGCAAGCAAGGATGGGCTCTGATTTGCATTACTAGAAAAATACCTAGAATGATGCAACTTCAGATCTACTGGAATATCCAAGAAATAACTGACATAGACTGCTTTAAGTTTTACATAATGTTTTACCAATATTAGCTCCTTTGAACCTCACAACAACTCTGTGAAGTAGGTACTATTATCCTTATTTTCAAAGTTGAGGAAACTAAGGATCAGAAAAGTCAAATGAATTGTCCATGGTCATCCAGCTACAAAGAGTCAGATGTAGAATCAAAACTTAGCTGTTTCTGACTCCAAAGTCAAGTATTCTTTCCACTATGGTAAGTCAATCTCCTCATTTTATACATAAGGAATCTGAAGACCAGATAAGTTGAGTTGATTTGCCCATTTTCACAAAAGGAGTAAAATACAGAATCAGGATTTGATCTTAAAATTTTCTGCTCCAAATTTAGCATTCTTTTCAATAAACTACATTATTCCTAATGGGAGTTCTGCATGAGTAATTGCCCCAATATTAGAAATATCTATTAAACAAGTCTTAATTCATCATCACTGCAGTGCCATTTTAAATTAAAATAGGCACACCACCAACCCAATGTCATGAAAGCCATGAAGCATCTTCAAGAATGTCTGTTAGGTTTTTAGTCATAGTTAAAAGATTTTCTATCACAAAATATATTTTTTTAAAAAGAGGAAAATGATGAACTGAGATTTCCTCTTAAAAATACACTAGGAAAATAATAGTGTTTGTGCCTTATTTTAATTTCTTTGGAAATGCTCACAATTTGAACATCTTGCTGGCCTACCTAATACTGAATCATTTGGCTTTAATTTCGTGGAGTCACCACAAAACAACAGATCTTTTGCATCCATTTCTGTCCAACCTCTAAGAAAAAATAATTCCTAAGAAAGGGTAAATGATCAATCTTTGACCAGATTCTACAGACAATTATTAAAGTAGATGTTATACAGGAGAAAGAACAGAGCTATTCCTAACATCATAAACACAAGTGTCATTGTCAGTGAAGGCAGAGATGATTACACATTTACAATCAAAAAGAATAAAAGCTCAAAGAAAACACAAATTATGTTTTCATGTGGACACATTATAGAGATAAGTATATACATGCATACATAAAGAAGAAAAGTGAACCGATTTAATTAGTGAACATAATGTTCATCAAATGGTCAAAAAAATGATCAAAAAGACTAATCTTAAAATTTTAAAGCACAAGAATACATATAAATACAAAAAAAATCCCAAACAAACAAAATTAACCCTCAAATCAAAAATAATTATTGAGTGCCTATGATGTAAAGAACATTATGCTAGGTGTTGGAGAAATGGATAAATACAGCTTACTAGGGTGTGAGACATATAAAATATAAATAGCTAAAATATCCAATATCAAGACTAATAAAACAAAATATTAGGTCATTACCAACCAGGAAGCCATGAAAGGTTTCTTGGAATAAGTAGCATCTGAGTTGGATTTTAAAGGATGGGTAGAAAACTTAACAAGAAAAAGGAAGGAATGGAGGACACAATAGGTACAAGGAACAACTTAAACAAGGGCATAAAGTTGACACTGTGCATCTTAAGAGAACAAAGAACTGTCCAATTTGTGGAGAAATACACAGCAGCTTCTACCTCCAGAAAGAAAACTGATTAACGCTGTGTGCAGATCAAAGCATATTTATTTCACTTTATTTTTCTTGCTTTTTTTGTAAAATGAAAATATATTTTGCATGACTTCACATGTATAATACATATCATATTGCTTTCCTTCTCAATGGGTTGGGGAGAGGCTCGAGGGAGGGACTCCAAATTCAAATTCAAAATTTTAAATTGAATGACAAAAAATACATAAATAGCAGGAAATATACAGATGGACAGAAGTTGCAGAGGGTCTTGTATGTCAAGTATTGAAATTTAAAATTTATCCAGTAGACAATAGGGAGTCATTAAAGATTTCAAAAAAGATGAGTGATATGAAAAGATCAATGTGAAGAAAGATTATTATTACACTGGTATGAAGACTGGATTGGAGAGGACAGATAAGACTCAGAGAACTAAACTATCCCAACAGCCTTGGCAGATGGAAACAAAGAGCTGATCTAGGATTGTAGTTGTGCGGCTAGAGTGGAAGGGTAAGATTTGAAAGATGAGGATGAGACAAGATGGACAGGATGACATCTCTAGTCCAGGCATCATCTCTATCTATTCACCAAAGGAACCTTGAGCTCTGTCCCTGGGACCATCCTGGACTTTGACATGTGAACTTTTGCTTTATCTTGCCTGGAACCAGATTTCCATATCATTTTCCAGACATCTCCATACCGTACATCCCTACATGCTACACAGATCCCATTAGCTCCTCATTCCATTTTGTCCTCCCTCATTAGAATGAAAGCTCTTTGAGGGCAAAGACTTTCTAGTTTATTTGTATTTGTATCTCTGGGGCAGCTAACTTGCACAGTAGCATTCTTACTGGGTCTAGTCAGGAAGACATCTTCCTGAATTCAAATCTGGCCCAAGACATGTAGTAGCTGTAAGACCCTAGACAAGTCACTGAGCCCTGTTTGCCTCCATTTCCTCATCTGTAAAATGAGCTGGAGAAGGAAATGGCAAACCACTCTGTATCTTTGCCAAGAAAACACCAAATGGGGCCACAAACAACTAAATAACATTTGTATCCCCATTACTTGGCTCACAGAAAGGATTTAATAGGCTAACTCCCTCTCTCTGTCCTTCTCTCTGTTTCCCTTGTCTGTCTCTATTTGTCAATGCCAAGTAGCCTCTCACCTATTATAATAATAAGAAAAAAAAGACCCAAACTCCAAATAGTCCTTTATCCTCTATTTTCTATTTTTTTATTATTTTCTCATACCTATTAGAGCAATGATAAAACATGGGGATCACTGATCTCAGGATATCTATCCTATATAAACACAGCAATTAAATACAAACACAACAATAGCAGTTCTACGGAGCCATACTTGTCCCACTAAAGCTTCAAATCATCTATCATTAATTGACCAACTGGCAGAGCTTTAAAAACCACGATGTGTTTAGGGGAGCACTCTCTAATTAGCCAAACAATTCTAATCCAAAGAAATTATTGTCACTTCTTCCAGCCTACCAATTATGTATTTCAAAACAGGTTTAGAATCTGCAGTGCCTTTTTTTGTTGGAATAAGAGGGTTAATTACAATAATTCCTAAAATGTATAAACTACTGAATGATGACCAAATATTTCAAGGCTATTTTTTGGAAAAAAGATTACAACTAGTATTTCAGGGCAGGGCTTGTAATAAAAGGGCTCACAACCCTAATCAACACTGAGAAAACGAAAATCCAGACATAAATGTATAACTCATTAAAGAAATGAAAATATAGTTACCTTTAAAATAATTAAGATTCAAATTTCCTGTTAAGATTTCAGTGTGGGGTTTATAGTTATACTACATTGACATAAACTGTGAATACAAGCTCCTGGGACTAAAACTCAACTATCAAGTAAACTCATCTTTCTGGTATGTGGTGACACAACATTCTTTCTTGTCAATGATTAACTTTTAACAGTCTCATCTATTAAAAGAAACAGGAGTACTGTAACTGTAAAGTATAACACAATAATAATGCTTGGCTATAATGCTGCATAGCTCACTGATAAATATGGAAGAAGTGAAATGAGGAAGAAGTGAAATGAAAATTCAAACTTGCTTACTGTTCAAGTAAAATGTAGAGTAGGTACAAGCTATATACAGTATATTACTCTATATA